TTTTATGGAGAACACTCAGCATATTGTGGGGGTGTTATAAACAAGCCATCTGTGCCAATTTAAAATTCAGTTTCAGTACTTTCAGTACTTTTCTTTGTGTCTAGTTGGTTATAGAAAATTGAATTAGAATAGAGGTGCTTAGATATAAGGCTGTATAGATCCATTAAGTACACATTTTTTTGTGTTTAAAAGTGTAGAGTACTTTTATAGTTCCTGTCACAGTATAGGGACAATGTCTTATAATCTGCCTTTTATTAATACATCTTGCATTTTTATTTTGAAATGTAGATACCCTAATTAGTTGTTTTTTGTTTCTTGTTTTGTTTTTTGAGTGTTAATTTCTTTGGAATCAAACTGCTTCATTGATACAGACTACTTTGTTGGGTGGCAGGGTACAAGTTTGATATGTATTGCTTCATCTGCATTTAGGTATAAAGTTAGTTTGTTTTAAACTTACTTTGTCTCAAAGGAGAAGAAAGAAATGCAGTCAACTTTGTATTTCAATTTTAGATTTGTCACTGCAATGAAAATTGAAGTGCACAATTTTAATTCTTATCAAAAAGAGTTCTTTTCATTTATGAATTTACAGCTAATCTCATTATTTGATAACCTTCTTTTACATTATATGATTTCTACACATTTCTGTTATGTACATATCTGGCAGAATTGCTGGCCATTGAGTATCCTTATGTTCTCTTTTAGTGGTTACTATCAAACTTTTCTTTTTCCATCAGCAGTATGTGAGAGTTCAGTTGCTTCACATCTTTGCTAACACTTGTGTTTTCTTCTGGCTTTTTCATTTTAATCATTCTGTTGGATGTGTAGTGACATAGCTTTTTAATTTTAATGTACATTTCCTTGATGACTATTGAAGCTGAGCCCCTTCTCATAATATACATTGGTTATTTTGATAGCCTCTTTTATAACATGCATGTTCAAATCTGCCTTTTAAAATTGCACTGTAGAAATATATTTTACATATTCTGATTATGAGACTGACACACTGACTGCTGCACTGAGGAGGAAGACTTTTTGCATATTCTGAATGTGAGGTTTCTGTTAGATATATGGATTGCAGATATCTTCTGTGTGGTGGCTTTCCTTCTCACATTTTTACTGTGTCTTTTATAAACAGATAAGCTTCACTTTAATCAAGTCCAAATTTTCTCTTTATTCAATTTGTGTCCTATTTGAGAAATCTCTGCCTCCACCAAGGTCATGGACTTTTTATCTGTTCTCTGCATTATTATTTTGTCTTTCTTATTTAAACCTATGATCTGTATAGATTGGATTTTTGGGTATGGTTTGAGGTGGGGGAAGTCAAGTTTCTTTTTTCTCCCACACTGAAAACTATTTTCCTTTTCCTACTATGATACTGTCTTTTTAGTTTTTGAATTCCAATTTTACCATTGTTTTCTTTCCATTTTCAACATATTGATAAAATAACTGAAGTTAAAATAAGTGCTCCTGATCCCATGCATATGACCAACACCATCACTTTTGCTTCCATATCGGTAATGATATTTGTTTATCAAAAACAGTGGAAACAGTCTAAGTTGGGCTTCAGGGATGTTGTCTATTTCTTTTATGTACAACATTTTGTAATGAAGCTTTGTGGTCACATTGAGGTCTGTGTGAATGGCAATCCCTGGAGATGGTATAGATGCCATACCTGGAGTGTGGCAGCCCTGAAAGCTACTTTTAGTGACCAGCAAATTAAAAAAGATCATTAACTTCTTCTGTGTTCCTGCAATCTACCTTTTAACAAATAGGGTTATTTATATTTAGGTATTGTGGGCCACACTGTAGGGGTGGAGTATGATGTAAATTCGGGGGTAATCCATGTGACTTCTCAGAATTTACCAGATTTTGTAACTTAACTTTCTAATGTTCAGATTTCAGTGTTTATTTTTGACTTAGAGGGCAATTTGTTTCAGTTAAAATATTTGTACCACTTCCTTACTGGATCACAATTCTGCCCTAGAACAAACTTAGTTCTCCTTAAAGTGTTGAAAGGTTAGCAAACACATTCAGAACAGGATACTTCAGAGTTATACATGTATTTTCTTGGAGATACAACTACTTTTTAAGCTTCTGAAAATCCAGAGAACCTCTTTCCTGTACACACATCTTTTAAAGTGTTTTTTCCCCCACAACTGACTTTATCGAATTTCATGCTACAGTTTGATTATTAACAAATGTATCTGGAAGACTTGTAAGAAGTTCTGTAAAGTTCATAATCTGATACAATTAAGGAAAATCTTTAAAAAATTGGAGGGTAGAGTTGGGATGAGTATAAAATCAGAATTATGGTTCTGTTAGGAAGGATGTGGAAGTGCTTAGTAAACTTCTGCTATAATTAGTCCAGCTGGTTAAATTGAGCATGCAAAAAATTAAAAAAAAAAAAGTACCTCTGTCAATGCCACAAACTGTAGCTTGGTTTATGCCAACTCTGTCACCAAGGATTACCAGTGGTTGAAATATAGCTCACTTTGAGACTGGGTCGGCTCAACACAAACCCTTAACTCTACTCTCGGAAAAAAAACAACCAAAAGTATGTCCTGAAAGTAGGTCAGCAGCATCCTAAATAAACAATATGAATGGAATATTTAGAGTTTTGAGGTCTTCTCAACCAAAAAACAAAACCAAAAATTTCCTGCAGGAATTTTGTATGGCTTTGGACACTGTGTTAGAATACCATACCTTTTGTATATCAAACATAGTTGTGGCAGTGGCATTAGTATTTAATAACTAATGATTAATACTTTTTGAGATTGATTTTTAGGTGTTACTATATGTCATTAAAGGACCACTCCAGTATTTATAACTGTTCTCTCTTGACACATGTCATTATGATATTCCTTTTATTGTATGAGTTCTGCATACCTATATAAAGGAGTAATTGATTCTAATTTGATTGCCAAAGCTAATCATTTGTATTTCTAAAAGATTGAAATTTGAGATATCTGTTTTGCTGATCACTTAATTTACTCCTTAAATTTTATTTTTTAACTCAAACAATATCAAACAACTATGTGAACAGCAATGTGCTAAGTATTGTGGAGAATTCCATGAATAAAATGCATAAAAGTCCTGATTTTGAGAAAAAGTCTCATGAAAGAGGAAAAGGAGAGAGGAAAGTATTAATCATTTATTGCACATGCTAGGTATTAAGCTAGGAACTTACATGTTTTGATTTAATTCTCGTTATAGTTCTTGAAGGTTATCAGTGATAGCCCCAAATGGAGCACTTGAAACTCAAAGAGATATGTTTCCCAAGATCATACAACTAGTAATGGTCATGAGCAAGGTCAGATTTGATCCAGGTTTGAATCTAAAACTGCTTTGAAACTAATCTTTGAGAAGATGGCTACTGTTATAAGGAGTAAAATATAGGCAAGGGGAGATAGAAGGAAAGTTACTTTTGGACAAAGAAAATAATGAAGGCCAGAAAGTTTAGCTTTGCACATGGAACATCAGGCTGTACCAGCAATTTTTAAACTTTTTGGTTTCAGGACATTGAAGGCTCCATTGAGCTTTTGTTTATAAATATTAATATTTACGTGGGAAATTAAAACATATAAAATTTGTAGCAAATAATTTAAAAACAATAAACCCATTACATAATAACTTAACACTTTTTATTGACAAAATTTGTCTATTTTCCAAAATAAAAATGTGCCGTTTTTATGCATGTTCTGGTTTTATTATAGTCAGGCATATAGATGACAGCTGAATTCTCACATCTGTTTAGCATCCAGTTTGTTACAATATCATGTGTTATTAAGCCTCTGGAAAGCCCAGTGTATATATAGTGAAATATTGAGAGTGAAAAGACATTACTTTTTTTTTTAAAAGATTTATTTATTTATACAAGAACTGGGATACAGGCCAGAGGTGTGTGTGGGGGGGGGGTGAGAGGATTCACCAGAGACAGGGTGGGGAACAGAACAGGCAGATTGACCGAAGTACACTGCTGAGGGGAATAGCAGGCGAGTCAGGAGAGGGCTGCTGTGCCATGTGGGTTGCTCCTTGGCCGGCAGGGGATCAAACTCTGTGCTGCAGAGGCTGCGGATAGCTTCATTGTAGTTTCCCTCTTTCCTCTTATCCATTCAATTCATAGACCAGTCAGGGTCTTCTTTTAAATCAGAGTGTGCCATTGCTTACCGCCCTCCCCCAACAAACTTGGTATAAAACACCAATTCTTTAATATTAATATCCTGTATATTATTCTCGGCATTCTGCCTGCCCTTTGCTTACTTGTTCAACCTCATTCTATCCCCCAGTATCACCCATTTCTCCCCAAACTCCTGTTCATTCTTTCCAATTTCAGCTTCAATGTCACTTCCTCAGAGATAGTCTGTGGTCATGCAAATTAAATTAGTTTCTCAGTCCTAATATGTAGTTGTTTATATTGAATTTATACCTTCCATATTTGGAGGTGATGAGTTCCTTTCCCACTGAAGGTAAGGAAGTTAAGTAACTTCCCCAGAATCTTAGAGCTGCTTATAATAGAGCTAGAATTCCAACCCAGGAATGGCCAACTATAAAGCTGTGCCTTTTCATGATCGCTTGCTTCCTTGAAAGCAGAAAATAGCATATGAATCAATGTGCCTGGCTTCAAACTATGGCCTGACTGTTCTCCTTTCTTTCCAGTTAACATTCAGGTTTTTCCTTAAATATCCATCTCTTTATGAGCCTAACTCTCCTATGTTACATACTTAGCACTTGTATAAATTAACTTGCATACATAGATAATTCATTTAATATTTTAGTCTATTTAATTTTTTAAGTTTTTTAAAGCTGTCTCAAGGGAATTTAATATCTTACTTGTACCATATTCTTCATACCAATCATTGGCAATACATTTTATGCTTTCATATCTTTAATAGAATTGTCTAAAATGGTTTTAAAGTAAAATTAATAGCTTATGTAATTTGGGATTATTAGGCATGTTTCACCGGAAAAAGAATTAATTAAGTATTTTCCCTTTGCTTTAGGAATTAAGTGACCTACAACGCGACCCACCTGCTCATTGTTCAGCTGGACCCGTAGGAGATGATTGTAAGCTTTGCTCTATTGCTAGGACTTTGCTACCATTAACACAGGTTTGAACATTTGTTAATGACTCCAAAACTCCTTTGTTTGTTTCAGTGTTCCACTGGCAAGCAACTATTATGGGGCCTGTAAGTATGTTTCATATATATGAAATTAATTCCCTCAGCCAAACTTCATTCTTGCCATTTCACCTTTGATCAGATGTTTGTGGCTCAGGTTGAATTTTCTTGTACTCTGAAAGACTCAGGAAGCAAAAATATTATTAAAGGATTTGTTAAGATTTCCTAGAGCACTAGTGGTGACAAGTACTTGCTAGGATCCTGTGATGTTTTACTTTGCTTCCTTGATCATTACACATATTAATGGATCACCATAATTTGCAACTAAGCTGCTTGCTTTATTTTAAACACAAAAGATCAGTTGCTCAAAACTAAGCTTAATTATTCTCATATTAATAGTTTTAGTAGGTTAAAAATAAATCTAACCAACCCAATAATGAAATTCCTACAAGTAACAAGCACCAATTTGCAGTAAGTTTTATTACTTTCCTGCTTGTACAGTGAAACTGATAAAATATTGCTATGGGTATGTCTTTGTGACTCTGTGAATTTGCCACTCAGTTTTGTTGCATTGTCCTGAACTCAGAATTACCTGCTATTTTATGCTGACTTCTCTTAACACTTAATACCTTTGTTAAGGTGATGTCTTTCTGAACTGAGAGGCAGTTATGACTTGAAACTTCTTTTCTGTCAACAATCAAAAATCTGGGCCTCTCTGGTGGCGCATTGGGTTGTGCACAGTGCTGTGAAGCTGTCCACAGCCTCTGCAGTGTGGGTTCAATTCCCAGCTGGCCAGGGAGATTCCCACATGGTGCGGCAAAACTCTCCTGTCTCGCCCGCTGCTCCTCTCAACAGTGTATTTCAGTTCTTCTGCTCCCTGCTTTGTCTCTGGTGAATTTTCTCACCCTCCCGCGCCTCTGACCTGTACCCCAATGCTTGTATAAATAAGTAAGTCTTTAAAAAAAAATCTAAATGTATACAAATAGGTGCTGACAGGTCAAATCAACTGCTGGGTGAGAGTATTTCAGTAACATGTTCCATGAACATCATCTTACCTTCCTTCCCAGAAAGAGCTTTATTTAGTAAGTCATAGAGTTTCTAATCATACTGTCTTGTGTTTCACTTAACAAAAAAAAAAAAGAATTTTCAGAATAGGAGTCCTGTGCAAGTATCTAAAATTACTAAATTGTTATAGTAAGGTTATTTAAAGATTAAAATGCAACATATATTTATATAACAACTTTCAATAAGAATCTTATATTTTGCTTAGTAAGAACCATCAAAATACTATCGTTTAAAGGCCACCCTTACCATCTGAATTATAGCCCTTGAGAAATATTTCTTAGATGAATCACTTGTAACAAATGGTTGTTATTATGTTACTCATAGCCCCTTTATTTTAGTAATGTAAACATGCCATTCTGTAGCATCATTTGACTATCTAAACCCACCATATCTGTCAATTATAATTAACTTATATTTTCAACATTCCTTATAATTTCTGATGAACTAGAATTAAACAATATATATAGTAAGAATAATTATACACTAAAATCCTCTAGTATATATACAGCAACTTGAAGAAATAATGAGAGTATTGCTCTTATTGCTAAAATGTAACAGCATGAAACATTTAATTAAATATAAATAAATTAAATAGAATGTTAGGCATTTGCTACTTTTTTTCTTTTTTGGTCATTATTTTCCCTTTTCTGGTAACACTGTAAGTTAAATATCTTCTATTTGCCACAGAGAAAACATGACAAAATTTAAATTTCTCTTACAAGGTTGATTCCTAATTTGATAATTTGGTAAATACTGAATTTAGCCACTTTTGTTTTGGCCTTTTTTTTTTTTTTTGCATTTGTCACATTTATAAACTGTTGCTAAGTGAAGATTTAAGACCTAATGTGTCACTTAGCCTTTCATTTTCATAACTTGGTATTTTCTGTTCATCTCCATTCTTGCCCTTTAAAGGATCATCAGAACTTAAGGTTTATACATAAGAAGGTAAATACTAGCTCCAGCCCTTTTTCTTTGTACTGATTGCTGCTGCAGAAAATTATTTTTCCTCATAGCAGTCTTGAGTGTATACTGACCTTTAAAAATCTGTGCTCATAAACAAATTTGTTTGTGCAAGTCACACCGCTGTGTGTCTTGGTTTTTGTCTTGTTTTAAATTCTGTGATGTCAACATGATTGAAAAATCCTCCTTCATACCTGCAAAGAGAAAACTGTTTCCAAGGTAAATAATTTGAAATTATGACAAAATGATGGCATTATTTTCAAACTGATGGGGTGGGATCATTTTAGATTACTAAACTTACATAGAAATCAGACACTGATGCAAATATTTTGTAATTTCAGCCTGATAGTGCGTATCAAGGTGGAGTCTTCTTTCTCACTGTACATTTCCCGACAGACTATCCTTTTAAACCACCAAAGGTATTTATTTTTATGATGGTGTGGCTTTATATTAGGGATTTTACTGCCTACCCTGAAATATTTTCAGGATGTCAGAAGACTGTGGGTAGATTAACATGTCCAAACTGTTTTGTAAAACTGCTGAATCTAAAATTTGCTTTTCTGACTCAAATGTGGTATTATGTCTCTAAAACAAAGGGCCATATATCTGTTATGCTATAAATTAGGTCTCTTTACCTTTCTTTCCCTCACCAAAAGATACATATATTTTGGGAAGTTTCTTACAGTCAAGAATCAGACTTTTCAATTTAGAGGATTATCTCTTAAAGTTGACTCTTCTTATTTTTTTTAAGTACTCAACAAACATTAGTTGAAAACCTACTATGTTCCATTGTTCCATTGGGGAATACAAAATAAATACAATACACATCCTTTGTTTAGTGTGGTAAGAGATATAAAAATACATTCTTATTAAATTTAGATGGGTTCTAAAGGTACCAAATGGGGATGTTAAAGAGGGAGAAAATCAGTAACAATTCTGTCACTTAGAAAGTAATTATTTTAGATTTTATGAAATGATGTAACAATAACTCTTGTGGAAGATTAAGATTATTGATGGGTTTCTTAGACTAGGTAATAAAGTGAGGCTCCTCAGCTTTCCCCTGGAACAAGGCCAGCACCTTATTTTTAGAACTAAGTATCACTTTCAGGTATCACTGATAATCAAGTTAGGAAAATGACTCCCTTGAGGAATGTTGAAAGCTATGGTTAATCACTTCAGATTCAACTCTCCCAGTCATACAGACTCTTCCAGACTTATTTATTACACTTTCCAAAATACTTCTCAGTTCCTGGGGGGCAAGAGGAGTGGCTTTCACCTTCCCAATAACTAAAGCTGTGTGGGCTCAAAGTAGCTGTTCAGTTTGTGTTGAATATATTTCTCCACTACAGTCATATAAAATTAAGGACATTTTAGAGCAATTTGTTTGTTTTGGCCGTAGTTCATAAATTGTCACATTTTTGTTTCGTTTCATGTTTAGATTGCTTTCACAACAAAAATTTACCACCCAAATATAAACAGTAATGGAAGTATTTGTCTTGATATCCTGAGGTCACAATGGTCACCAGCTCTGACTGTATCAAAAGGTAATTTCATTTATCAGTTTTATAACAGTTGATAACAGTGAAACAGGAAAAACACAGTACCTAGGAACCAAAAATTTAAATAACTAATCTACTGTGTTTTCTCATGTTCTGGTTTTACTTTGCTTCATACCTCTTATTTTATTACTCTTTGGCTTTTAGCAGTTGGGGGATGATGAAGCAGAAATTGATAGGCAAATGTAAATGATGAAAGAGAGAAATTTTAAACCAGAAATTTTGGGATAAGCCTAATGAGATTTTACCTTTTTTGTTTGGGTTTTGGAGAGAGAGAGAGACAGAGAGAGGGAGAGGGAAGGGGGAAAGGATGAGAGATAGAGGGGGAGAGGTAAAAATAATATGTTAAAACTTGTTCTATTCATTAAATGAAATTATTGACACTGTAAGAAAAGTTTTATGTGATTTTAGGAAAAAAATCTCTGATGAGGCTGATAAAAGAAATGATTTAAAATGAGAGTTATTTTACAATTTAATGCATTAGATGAGTCCAAATTTTACATTATTAATAGCTTCATAATGACTGATATATAATCCATGTGGATTCTCAGTTTTCACAGATATATAGCATTGTTCTTTACTAAATTATCAGGTATGTACATAGGTAATCTGTAGCAATTTTTGTCCCTTTAGCCAATATTATTTGTTATGCCATTCATCTTAGTTTATGTCTTGTTTCTCTAACAGAAGAGAACTAGATAGTTGGAAAATAATGGATTTAATTGGTAACATCTGTTCCTGAAGTAACATGGTAGTTTTTTCTTTTTATAAAATTTAAGAAATTTGTTTTTCATGAATCACTCAGGAAGGGGTCCATGGTCATTAAAAATTATTTTTTAAGTAAATGGTACCTGAATATATAATGCGTTGTTTTAAAATGATAAGACTTATAGGAAGCAGGGTCCACAGTCATAATTATTTCAAGTATTTGCTAAGTAATGGTCCTTTAAGAAGGTTATTTATAAATGGCAATTTTTCTGACCTAGGATGTTCTTGTAGATTCTAGTGTCCTTTTAAAAACTTTTCCCATAATGTAACTGTTATGTGCTAGATAGAGGAAAGATTCTGTATAAAAGGTTATTCAAATTAATATACTCCTTCCTGGAATGGTATCACAGAATGAATGTCATTTGGCAAAGCAGCTAAGTACTTACACATAGAAAAGAAATGGCAGACTGCCAGATGTGGAGCACTTATCTTCTGACACTGGTAGCTTTTTATAAAGAATAATAAGTATTGTTGGCTTCTGGAAACTATCCTTTAAGAATTCAAACAGGTTTAGTTTCTTCATATGTAACCTCTACACTATGTAGAGGTTCCTACATAGTGTTACCATGTAGGATTGCTATGTGCCTGGCACATAGTAAGCATTCAAATGAATGTCAAATATTTTTCCTTTTTTTCTTACCTTAAAACATTTGATTTGTGTGTAAAATAGTGAACTCAGCACAAGTGACTTTTGGTAGCAAGAGTGGAAAGATGAGGAGCTTTATTTTTGTTTATTTTATCAATAGCTCAAAGTTTGCTCATTTGTATGTTTTTCACTTTTTTATATTTTATGTGCCTTATTTTGCTTTTCATCATGAGTTAAATCTGAGAACTTTTTGGGAATGTGAGCCTAGGTAATCTACTGTGTTTACTATGCCAGCCTTCTTTTAGACATATGGAAGAGGGCCTCCCCGGTGGCGCAGCGGTTGAGCGCTGGGTTGTGAAGCTGCCTGCAGCCTCTGCGGCGCCGGTTCCATCCCCTGCTGCTCCCCGGCCATCCCCGGCTGCTCCCCGGCCACCGGAGGAGGGTCCCGCATGGCGGGCAGACCTCTCCTGCTGCCCGCTGCTCCCCTCAGCAGTGTGCTTCGGTCCTTCTGCCTGCTCTGCTCCCCGCTCTGGCTCTGGTGAATTCTCTCACCCTCCCGCGCTTCTGACTGTACCCAGTGCTTGTATGAATAAATAAATCTTTACGCATATGGAAGATAAGGAAGATGAATACATATGTTTTTCATTAGACTTAGCACCCCCTTTCCCTGTCATTTACGAATCAGTGCTGCTATATAAATTCACTTTTGTATTTGTAAGAGTAGGAAAAGATGAGGGAATATAGTAGAAGAAGGTAGAGATGAAAGTTTGTTCCAAAGATTCAGTGAACCCCCTCAGAAGTGGTAGCGTGCAGTAGAAGAAAATGAGAAATAAGTTCTTGTTTCCTCCTTTTTCAAATACTTAGTTGTTTTTATTAAATGTAATTATTTGCGTTAGTATTTTCATGTAATATGGCAAGAAACAATTGCTTTTTTTTGATTTTTCATTTGTGTTTTAAAACATTTAGGTGCTAACTCTTCACGCTGCTTTTTAAAAGCATATAATATAAAAATAGATATGAAATTAAGAACTCAATGAAAAGATCTTATAACTCTTCTTCTTTGTAGACAATCTATTTATGGCAAACCAGAGTAGAAAAGTAGAGGAATAAAATGTCCAAAAGGGTTTGGACTATTAATTCTAATTGATTATTTTGAATTGATTAGAATACAGATTTTCTGCATTAAAGTAGAATAAAAATGGACAACTTCCTCATTAAAATAATATAAAACTATCTAAGAAACATGTAAAGTTAGAATGCTCTTCTAAAATTTTTTTGATTATGTACCATTGGGCATAGGTCTGTTACCTAAAAATACTTTTGTCGATCTCTCTCAAGGTTAAATATTGTTAAAAGCTACTTTAGAGAGGTTCACATTTTTTAAATAAATAGAATTACAAACAGAATTTAGAAATTTAAAAGTTATGATAATTTTATGGTAATTTTATTGTTTTAAAAATAATACCAAAGTCAGTCTAAAATATAATTAAATGAGTTCATTTCATTTTGTATCTTCTTTATAAGTTCATTGTCTATATTGAGCAAAATTATTTTCACATTTGTAGTTTGTGTGAAGTAGAACAATCATCTAATATGATATTCTCTTTTAAATCTAGTTTTATTGTCCATATGTTCTCTACTTTGTGATCCTAATCCAGATGATCCCTTAGTACCAGATATTGCACAAATCTATAAATCAGACAAAGAAAAGTAAGTGCCTACTTATATTACTTTCTGTTTTGGTACATTTTTTTGTGTAGTTTGCCAGAACATAAGTATTATTAATATGCTTAAGTACATTTAATTATGCTTATTATATTGTTTGTTAATCTTTCCAATGGAGAGTTTCTTGTTAAACTCTGTAAAAATCTTTATTGTTTAATAATTTTTTATGTTTAATAGTATGTGTTCTATGGTTGACAATATGTTATGATGATAGGAAGAACTATATGTAATTCTAGGTAGTAAATTTAAAATGAAAGACTTTGATATTGGAAAATATTGAATATTGCATTTATTATATTCTACCAGGAAGAGACAGTAACCTAAAACTCTCCCAAACTGACCTCATTTTGTCATATCTTGGTGATACCATTGATTCATTTGTAACTTGCAGATTATGCCTCAAAGTTGGCTTTTATATATTTCTGTTAGAATTGGTTTCATTTTTCTGTTTGTAATTTAGGTATTTTTTAATATATTTTATAAGCTCATCAATTAAAAAGTCTGTGGTATTTTATTTATGCATGAGGTTAAGTCACAATGACCCAATAATTGGTAGGTGTTATTTCAATTAATCATAAGAAAGTCATATCTAGGTCTTTTAAGAGATTCAGTTTGTATATTTTTACTATATATATCCCTTTTGTATGCCTACAGATACAACAGACATGCACGAGAATGGACTCAGAAATATGCAATGTAAAATCAAAAAAAAATTTCATATATACCAGAGTACTGTAAAATCTAGGTTTTTCCCCCTCAGCATTAGCAGTAAAATGAGCACCATTTACTGTCTCACTGTACCATGAAATCCTTTTGATTTTTACCCATTTTAAATGTATTTCTGAAGCAAGACAAAACAAACTTCCAAAAATACCCTTAAGACTGTGATGAGAGCATTTATCATTTTGTATGCATTGAGAAAGACATTTATTATGGTTTTTAAGATACTTGGACATCTGCATCTTCAGCCTACGAGATCTACAACACATCTGAAAAGCAACCAAATTATTTTTTGCTGAAACTAGATGTTTTTACATGAGAAATACTGTATGTATTGTCTATGATGTTGTCGGTTTTATAAATCTGTATTCAGATTTCATTCTTTGTTAGCTCACTTTATAATTTGTATTTTTTTACTGTATAGACTAAATATATTCTATTTACATGTATGTCAACTCATTACTTTTTTCCTGTGAACAGTATTGAAAAAGCCCAACAGCTGATAACTAAATGAATTAACTGTCCCTTGTCTTAGGGTATTCTGTAACTCAATTACAGATTTCTCAAACCCAAAATGATCTTTACACTGTAATTCTCAGTATATTGATTATGGAGAAACACTTGTTTTGATTTTGTTATACTTGACTTAACTTTATTGCAATGTGAATTAATTGCACTGCTAAGTAGAAAGATGTGTAACTTTTATTTGTTGCTATTCACATTTGAATTTTTTTCTGTATAGGCAATATTATATTGACACCTTTTACAGACCTTAATGTAGCTTTTTCCATATAAATAAAAAGCTTTTTCTACTATTTGTCTTGATTACTTAAAAAGATAAAAATTACTTTATCTTACAAGTAAGGATCAAAACACTATATAAAATTTTGCACGAAAATTCCAGATTGTGAGAATGAGGTTTGTCGTATTTGGCATTCATCACCATTAATTATATAAGTTTGATTGCTTTGGGTTTGTATCTGTTTATTAAGTTGTCTATCTAAGGGATATGCATTGGTTTCTTGTTGTAGAAGACAATTTAGAATTAGTTGGAGTTTTTCATGGATCACTGCTAAAGTCCTGAAATGAGGATAGGACAATGTTGATGTCATATAGACCTGAAAAATAATTAGGTTAATTCATTAAAATGCACCTCTAGCTGTAACTGTTAATGTATTTCTTAACATTTTAAAATTAAGAATTTCTAAAATAGAATGTTAGTACCATCACAATTTGGCAAAGGACATACTTTGTTACTATAGAAGTTATAAAGAAAATTCTAAAATGATGCTTTCCTCTGTTTCATAATTTATAGTTAAAAGTGATTTAAATAAGCAGATTCTCTTTTCAGATTTTAAAGAAAGCTACGAAGTTCTGATGTTTAACTTGGGAAAAAAACACATCTCTATAATTATTAGCATGCTTACCAAACTTGAGTGTCATTTCTAAGAAGAGTTGTAGCTCTTCTGATTATTGCAGTAGATGTATAAGTGTGCAAGAATCTGTGATGGGTGTAGTCATTAGCAAAGCATTGAAGTCATTTAAGTATTTTACCATGGTTCATTATTATTAAAGCACAAATGACCCATTGTTAGAAAATGTGTTTTTTAAATGAATGTAAAATAATTAAATGAATTGTGAAATGGATGTTTAAAAAAATATAGGCTTAAAAAAGTATATTAAGTGATGTCTTGAAACAGCCATATCATGAAAAACACTACTAGTTATATTATTATAAGCTACATTCACCCAGAAATTGAACACTCAAAACATCATTAGATTTAAGTATTTAGTACATTTTGATAGTAAAGGGTTTTGTTTCTTGAATATAACTTTTTAAAGAAAACTTTTACTTGTGTGGCATTTATTTTTGGAAGTGTCTTTTTTCTTTATTAAAGTTTTTGAAACATGCCTAACTCTTGTTTGCCTTTGCTTACATTTGAATTGTACAACCAGACTCCTGAGGATTGAACACAAGTCTCATTATCAACTAAAAATCTTAAAGATATCAGCGGTGACGTGAAATCTGTCAGATCACCATTTTTGGTGTTTTTGCTTAATTCTAACAGAGTACATTAATTATTTTTTAAAAATGTATAAAGCTGAAGTCAGGGGGCTTCCTCATAGATTAACCATTAATTTAAGGACCCTCTCAGAATGAGGGAAAGGGAAATGAATAGTCTTTTGGAGACTTAGGATCCTGACTCTTGATGTCCCGGATACTTTGGGACATTTTTATTAACTATACTTGGATTGGATTCTGGGCTTGTAACTGCCACAATACAATAAATTAGTGATACAAGTTGGAAGGGTAAACTCAACTTACCACCCAGCTATCTCACAAGTGGAAGTACAGACTTTACAAATGTTTATGTAAACTGCATATAATTACTTATTTTTGCTTTGAGTGTTTTTCCCCTCTCCATGAACTATATTCAGGAATATTAAAATTTTACTTTGTAAATCTACTACTTATAACTTTAAAAGATCAAGAGCCATTAGGTGAAAAACACACACAAACAGAACACAAGGACAATATTAACAGTTATATACAGTTATTTCCTTCTAGTGGATTTTGGCTTTCTTTGTTCTTTTTCTAGTTCCTTAAGTTTGAGATCTTTTTGTGTCTTGATGTAGGTCTATATTGCTTTCTACTTTCTTTTCAGTATTGCTCTTGCTGCATCCCATAGGTTCTGGTAACTTGTATCTTCATTTTCATTTGTCTCCAGGTACTTTTTAATTTCTCCTTTGACTTTCTCAATCCAATAGTCATTCAGTTGCAAATTGCCTGGTTATCTCATATTTGAGGTTTTTCCTGCTGCTTGTGGTTGATGTGGTTGTTTGATGCCATTGTGTTCCAAGAAGATAGCTCATATGATTTCCTGACACTTCTTTGTGAGCCAGTATGTGGGCTATCCTTAGGAGCTTTCTGGGATTAGAGGGCTATATACGTGTCTATTAAACACATCTGGTCTAATTGCTCGTTTAAGACTCATTTCAATGTTAATTTTCTGTCTGGTTGATCTTTCCATTGGTATCAGTGGGATGTTGAAGTCCCCTATTTATATTGTGTTGTTATCAATGTATGTTTTTAGATTTTTTAATACTTGTTTTATATATTTTGATTCTTCTTCACTTGGTGCATATATATTGATGAATATTATGTCTTCCTGATACATTAATTACTCATTACTTTATGCTTTATGTCCATTCCTGTCTTTTTACCTTTTTAAACTGGAAGCCTATCTGGTATGATTATCTTGGCTTTTTTTTAGGGCACTCCTAGTTGTTTATAGCTTTACTTTGCAACCTTTTATTTGAGCCTGTTTCTATTTGGAGCTTAGATTGGTCTACAGGAAATAGAAAGTTGGGTTTTGCTTTCTGATCCAACTAGCTATTTAGTCCATTTAAGGGTGATTATTGATTTGTGAGTACTTGGTACTGACATTTTATCTTTAGTTTTCTGATTCTATGTCCTTGTTTAATTTCTTGTGAACTTTCTGATTTAGATAACTTGTTTCAACATTTCTTCTAAGGGAGAGCTATGGTTTGTAAGATCCTTCAGCTCTGTTTGTCTTTGAAGACCTTCATTTCTCCCTCATATCTAAGAGTCTTGCAGGATGTAGTATTTGCTGACAGCTTTTATCTTTGACTACTCTGAATATGTCAGACCATTCTCTGTGGCTGTCTAATTATTTGACCCCTCTATTTGGTCTTTTCTGTTTCAAGAACTTTCTTTAGGTTTTTTTTCTTTTTTTTTTTCTTTTTAAATCTCACTGAGCTCTTACAATCTATCTGCCTGCTGAAGAGCAGTGAAAACCTGATGGAATTACCTTTATACATTACCTGCTTTTTTCCCCCCTCACTACCTTCAGTGTTCTTTGTCTTGAACTCTTGGTTATTTCCACTACCATGTGTCTTGATCTAGGTCTCATTGCATTTACATAACCAGGTCTCTTAGCTTTAAGAACTTGTATATTTAGTTTCTTCCCCCAAGTTTGGAGAGTTTTCTTTGAATAAGCTCTCTGTACCTATCTCTCTCTTCTCCTTCGGGGATATCATTATTCTTATCTTGCCTTTCCTAAAGGAGTTCTTAAATGGCTGCTTCCTTTTTTCCCCTCTAATTTCTCAATTTTCTTCTGGGTCCTTTGTGTATTAATATCTTTGAAGTGATTGATTGGATCCTCTATTTGGTCTATTCTGTTTCAAGAGCTTTTTTTTTTTAAGATTGATTTATTTATGCATACAAGAGCTGGGGTACAGGCCAGAGATGCTGGGAGTGAGAGGTTTCACCAGAGACAGAGTGGAGAGCAGAACAGGCAGACTGGCTGAAATACACTGCTGAGGGGAGCAGCAAGCGAGACAGGAGAGGTCTGCTGTGCCATGTGTGTTGCTCCCTGGCTGGCAGGGGATCGAACTTGTACTGCAGAGGCTGCGGATTGCTTCATAGTGCTGTTTTTGACCCCTTGCGCCACCAGGGAGGCCCTGTTTCAAGAGCTTTCTTTGGAGTTTTTTTTTTTTTTTAAATCTCTTTGAACTCTTTACATCCAATCTGTTTTTTCATTAATTGTTGTTAACCCTCAAGGTATCACCTATTTCTTTAGGCAGACCTTTTCTGAGCCCAAAGTCTTAGATATCTCTCCTATTTGTTCCTGTAGTTCTCTGTACTTCCCCAGTTGTGACATTGATAATACTATATTGCACATTCCTAGTTACTTGTCTGCTTCCCTTTTTTTCTGCTGGACTAACAAGTTTTTGAAAACATGAACTCTGTGGCTGTCTAATTATTTGACCCCAGTGTCTGGCTCAGAATCTGACACATAATATGTTCATTAAATGTTTACTGAATGAAATAAAGCAAATGAATATAAATTACAAAAAGTTAATGTTCAAAAGTAACAAACTTTATGATAAAAATAATACCACAAGTATTTTTCATTTCCCACAATGATATGTTTATCTTTGTACATCATTTAATCATTGATGTTTAGCAGGATCTCTGAAATGTAATCTCAATTTTGTATTCTTAAGATTTAAAGATTGGGGGCCTTCCCAGTGGCGCAGCGGTTGAGCGCTGGGTTGCGAAGCTGCCCGCAGCCTCTGCGGTGCCGGTTCAATCCCCAGCTGCTCCCCGGCCACCGGAGGAGGATCCCACATGGCGCGCAGACCTCTCCTGCCGCCCGCTGCTCCCCTCAACAGTGTACTTCGGTCCTTCTGCCTGCTCTGCTCCCTGCTCTGGCTCTGGTGAATTCTCTCACCCTCCCATGCTTCTGACTGTACCCAGTGCTTGTATAAATAAATAAATCTTTTTTAAAAAAAAAAAAAAAGATTTAAAGATTGGGAAAGATTTTTAGTCATGAAACTATTATGTCTCTTTTTTGGTAGTAAATTCAAGCTGAACTCTAAGGGTCCAGTATAGTCAATAATGTTTTAAATTTTGAGTTCTGCAGTAGAATCATTAGTCCTGTTAATAGGCCTAGACATGACCATATAAAGCATTAGTGAATTCAAATATTGAATTTGGTATGTTCAGCAGAGTACTGCTTAACTTCTTAGTTGGTTAAAATCTTTGATCATCAATATAAAAATAATTCTTACATGTTTATATATATTCTATCAACTTTACAGCTTTCAAAAATATTTTTACCTTAAAGCAGCGGTTTAATTGAAAGTTAGTGGTCTTAAAATATAATGCAGATTATTTGAGAAAGTTCTCATTTTTTACAGTGCTTCTCTTACTGTTCTGACAGCTGTACAAATAAGACAAGAGGTAGAAAGTCATTTAATTTCACTTATAAATATTGCTACATTTCGATAGTCATTTCTACTTTTGTTTTTGTACTGA